AATAATTTCATTGTCTGACGCTCGAGTTTGCAACAACTTTTTCTGGTTAAATGCCGAGAGTGGGCTTTACATTCGCTCCATTTCACGCCGCGGCGATGCGTTTTACAACCCGCGAACAATCCGCGTGCAATAAGTCCGGCCGCGGATAGTAACCGCATGACGCATAACGCGTCAGCCGCAGATGCGGCGGGTGCAGCGGCAGGCGAACGCAGCGAAAAAGGCATTTCGACAACGATGCGGGGTCGTGCAATAATTTTCTCGTTCAACGGCCGAACGAGTACCGAATGTGTTTGTTCTGGTCGGGGTGTAATTTTCATAGCGAACTCGACGTAGGAGCGAAGTACTCAAAGTTACGCATAGTTCGTCAAATTTGTTACGTTCGCCGGTGTTACAGATTCAGACGAATTTTAATTAAATCCTTTAACTTGCTACTTATCGTCTCGCGTTTACAACGGACGGTTTTCAAAGTCAAAGATTTTTATTTTAATAACCAACGATATGTAATCTCTTAAATGTAAGACTCTCTTTCGCGTTAACTCCAGCATCCGAAAAGATAACGCTTGACCAATTAATACGTCAGTAATCCAGACGAAATTGCGAACTCCTCGATCACGCTCGAAGAACTTCAACGAGTAGCTAGCTCGAGAGCCTACATAGCATCGGCGGCGATCGAAAGCTCCAGAGGGCGAAGCGATAAAGCCTGAAAGGACTCTCGGGAGAGTTCCAGCGTGGCCGCGAGTCGGAAGATTTATACGCAACGGGCAGCGCTATAGAAAGAGATAGAGAGAGAATCCTCTCGCTTTCCGGAGCTTCGAACTTGACGAACTGCATGCGCCGCGGTCTACGATTCGAAACACGGACATCTACATACATATACAGTGCGGTTCCCTCGGAACTCACCGCTCCCAAGGGAGACGACGTCTTCCCGGCATTCGAGCGGTAACCGCACACACCGGGGGCCGAACGCGTTTAAAGGGACCGAATTCTACGGCAAACCTCGAAGAGATCTTTCGCCCTGGGATGCCTCCGAGCTGACCAACTTTGAACGACTTTGTCGTTACGAATACATCTCAAGAAGTGACGTAACGACGTCTCTGAAATATATCGCGAACTATTCGATATACTTCGTAATATCGTCATATAAACTCATCGCTTCGCATTACGTGTTCGTCCTTTAAGAAAAATGTTATATTTTAAAAAGCATTTCTCAGAGATGGAAGTAACAATTATCTAACAGATAGCTTGATATCTCTTATGTACAACCTTATGTATAAACGTACCTCGACAAACAAGCTCTATGAGAGGGCTTTTTATAGAAATTATATTTATGTATGCGCATGTGTGATCTATTTTTTTCATAAAAATTTAACAGACGATTCAAATACGAGAAGTGTACACCGAAGATTACACATTATCACTATATATATATAATTTAGATTTTGAGGATATAGTTATATATAAAAGAATCTCATTTTTTAAATTAATGAAAAAATAATATAATCACATTTGGTAAAACTGCATAAAAGGTGACACACCTCCGATTTTATCGCTACTTAAATATGTTGTAGGTGATTCTTCTGAATAATTCCCCGCAAGAAATAATTGGGGGATGGCATTGGTTTAGAAGATATAACAAATTGAAGTTTCATATTAAAGTATGTGTATATGCTGTATAATTTGTTATTTTCTCATTAAAAAGAACTATTTATGACATTTAAGCATGGGCGGGGGAGGGGCACCCCCATTCCGAAAAAATTCTAATTTAACCCAAATCTATTTTCAGTTTTAAAAGTAAAGTTGGATTGGGTTAAATTAGATTTTTCACGCATTCAATAAATAATATTTTTCAAGACAAGACTCACAAATTCGTGTAGTTACATGTCGAAAGCTGTTAACGAACTGCGAGAAATAGGTGAAACACATTATTGATAAATATCCATGATCGTGTATCTATCCCGTAAATGTAAACAAACACTTTTTCCACGTCAGCTCTACAACAAATACAACGTACACAAACTTTACTCTTCCTAATATTACTTTATAATACCCGAGAAAAAGCATTAAAACTCTGAAACTTTAATTTGTTACATCTCCTAAACCAATGCCGTCCTCCACTTATTTCTTGCCGGTAATTACTCAGAAAAACTTCCCCTATAACATATTTAAGTGGCGATAAAATCGGAGGTGTGTTACCTTTTATGTAGTTTTACCTTACATTTAATTTGAATTTTGAGCTTCAAAAAGTTATCGAAATTAAAAATCATGAAATTAAAGACTACAAAAAAATCTTATTGTGTAAAAATTAATATTGCAAGGTAATTTAATATGCATGCTTAGATGCAACAATTGGAATTATTTTACAAACGGTGCAAGTGTATTCAGCAACGCGCTCACTGATGAAACATGCGAGTCATTTATGCGTATCGATGCGTTTATGGCAGTAGCGTTTTGATCGAAACACACTTTGATCGCACTCGGTGCACACTTCTATCTCATCCCTGGTTAATCGAGCATGTCGATGACGCCGTATATCGATTATCTGCCGTTTACCGGGGTGTTATCGAAACGCGCTTAATTAACGGAGAACAAACTGCAGCGAGAATAACGACGCGAGTCGAGCGTTAATCGCGATGCGAGGAGCAAAAAGAGGCAGATGAGAGAAATTGCTTTCGTGTTATAAATTCTCTTCTTGCCTCCTCTTTTCTTACCTCCCTACCATTTTTATCAGAAAGATACGTTGGCCTTATAACGATGTTTTATCCTACTGTCGAGATGCATTTTATTTCGTGCGATAAAACTTTACATTAAATACATGTTTTTGTATTTCAGCTTTCTTGTAATATAGTTTATATGTATATATTCTGCAAATACGGATAGATTACGGTAAGATTAAATTTATTTTAATTCTTATTTCTCAAACATTTCCATTCAACATTTTTAATGTATCCCTCGCTTTTATTCCATAATTGCAGGACACGAATTCAGTTACGAATAATTGATTAAAATAATACTTATTAATATATTGGCTTTTGAACTAATTGTAAATAGAATCGAAGAAAACGGGATTGAAGTTCTCTCGTTGGCTTTTTACCTTACGGATTGATAGAATCAACGAAAATTTAGAGGCGAGATCTCTTGTTTGACGACGCGAAGCGGCGCGTAGCCCGCAAAACAACGCCATTCGCGAAGTTGGTACCGGCCAACGTAGTGAGCGAATGGGACGTTAAATCGAGATGCTCCTCTCGTGTGCCCTCCACGTAATCCCGCCGCATCCTTGACCCCCGCCATCGTTTCCACGCACGCAGTAATTTACCGCGAAACACGCGCGTCGTTACTCAGCCATCGCTTTGTTCTCGGATTTTCTGCAAGTCGACGCTTGCCCGAGACCATTTTTTTGCCTGAAGATCCTTTACGTAATGATCGATAATGACGGCTGGACATGCGCCAACTAATGACTTTGGGAATGGAATGCCTATATTACCTATGTTGCCTATACTGTTATTAAATATATTTGTCCTTACGTTACATTAAATTTATCTTATCGTCCAGTGAAGACTTTGGATACATTGTAATCGATATTTTTTTATATTATTTAAAACGTTATTAAAAAAAATGGAGTAAAACGTATCAAATTTATATCATGCAAAATTGAAAAAGTAAAATTTAAATTAGGGTATCGATATACACTCGATACATTTATCCGTAATGATACAAAGTCAATGATACAAGTCAAAGATTAATACATTGATAATGAGAAAGAGAGAGAGAAGGAGAGATAGGATCGTAAAACTGCATCTAAGTTTATTTAGGGGGAAATATGATGGCTGCTATAATATGATACCATCCAAGGAAAGAAAGAACGAAGGAAGAAGAAGACAGCGAGAGGGGGCAGCGACAAGGGAACAGCCTGCGCGAGCAGAAGGCAGGGAGAGTGGTGTAATAACTCTGTCCGTGAAAGCCTCGTCGTGAGTTCATTAGTTCCGTACCGACGCGCCATAATGCCGGTATAGTCCGCGGTTAGGACTTTCCACGGAAATACTATGGCGCCAGTAAATTCAGCGAGTTTATTCGCGGATTTCGCGTCTCCAAACGTTCACATCTCAGGCTAAAATATTATAATATGCGTCCCGTCAAATGGTTTTATAAACTGAACTCACATCAGCCATTTTAGAAGTAACCAGCTGGATTTTTTTACCCCATGAATGTGTGAAGATTACTTACTACTGTAATGATACTGAGATTAATTCTGATGATGAGATTAATTTTAATAGAGAGAGTATTATGAAAAATTAACTAAACTTTAATGTTTGAAACTTTAAATCTGATAAAAAGTTTTGAAAAATAGAGAGATATGCATCTCTAAAGTTATGTTGGGTGTTTCTTAAGATGTATATAACAATTTTTCGATTAAATTGAATAAAAATACTTAAAAATTGAATTTACAAAATTTTACAATTCCATTGTATAAGATAAGATTGATATATTAAAAGTCCTAAAAATTAAAAATTTATTGATTTAAGTATTTTTACAATATTTTAAATATAAATAGAATCTTTCACATAGCGACAGAGAAAGAAATAAAATATATGTATTTTATTTTAAATTTCTTTCATCAGAAATAACTGAATGCAAAAATTTTTTCGAGATAGGAGTCTCTCTGCACAAACCAACATATAAACCGCAAAAACGCGCTCGTGCGAATAGATTAAACATCGCAACAACGTAATCCCATCAGCAACAACGGCACCTATCCTCTAGGCTTCTCGCGCATGCGAAGGTTTTCCGGAAACGGAAGCCGATGTGGATCCGGCCACAACGGACGTCATGTGTACGACAGGCTCGACCGCGCGCGTATAATCTCTACATTCGGTCCGCCGCGAGTTGCAGGTTGCAGCTGCAATTGCAACGTGCAGTTGCATGCGCATTACCGCGAACTTTAGCCGAAAAACTAAAGCAAGCAAAAAAAAAAAAAAAATAACAAACTGCGTTTTGTGTTGCAGAGAGGTACGACACCGCATACGCCTGCGAGGGCAAAACGCTGGAAATCGAGTGTGGCGAGGGGAAGCTGATCCACCTGATACGGGCGAACTATGGCAGGTTCTCCATCACGATATGCAACGAGCACGGGAACACCGAATGGAGCGTCAACTGCATGTCGCCCAAATCGTTCCGTGTGCTGAACAACGAGTAAGTACCGCACGCGCCACGTTTGTATTTCCGTATATTTGCTGTGACTGACTTCATTCGATTTGCCTTGAACATATCCCTTTGATCTATTCCCCTGGGAATTGCCGCAGGCAGAGCTGACCGGGATAATTTAGCGAGAGATAAATACATATCCGTTTAATTGCAAAAGAGAAATTATTGAAAGAATGAACGACACACACGAGCCCCAAAAAAGATTTCATGTAAAAAAGGCTCAATCCATCATACGTCAAATTATTTTTTTCATTGAAACTGAATAATTGGTATCAGAATAAATTATGTATTTAATATCTATCTAATCTTTTCTTATCTCCAGAATTAATTTTCTATTGTATATATATATATCTATATTAGTATACATTCTTTTTTTTTGAAGATCGGAAAATCACTATGTATATATAAAACATTCAAGGAAGAATTTTTTTACATAAATTTGCTAATGATCGGTATATAAGATCTATAATAGAGAGGAATTATAGTATATACATATATCGAAATTATTGAAAGATTCATTAAATCCTCCAAGGGCAAATACTATTTTTAACAAGATAAATGTTCGATGAAGCGGTGAATGGATTCTTTAAATTCTTACAATTGCGGAAATTATTAGCACAGATAATTATCAGAAATTCTTTTTAAGGCTACAAGTATATCGCCTTATATCAATTATTTTTTAATAAAGCATAGAATTATGAAAAAAAAAATTTGAAGATAAGCTCAGCAAACATTTAAAAATTTTTTGCCATACTAAAGGAGTAATATTTGTAATATAAGGAATAAAATATTTTATATCTTGATATAATATAATTAAGATGGTATTATATATTTTATTGTGCGATTAAATGTGCGCGCTATCGCTTCTTCTAATATAAAATACGTAATAAATATATTAGTCGGACGTAATGAATAAACTTGCAATATAAAATAATATTCAGCTCTGCTCGCGAAACGCTAACCGATCCCTCGCAAGTGTTTAGAAGAAATAGAGAATAATGAACAATATAATATTCGATTAAAAGAGATTGTTGCGATTGATGCGAACGATAATAGATCAGACTTGTCATTTTGGCGATTATCGCATAATCAGCATGTTTTCTAATAGAGTTGACTGAGAATTTCACGGAGTTTTCGCGTGTCATCTTATGCCATTATCGTGAAATGATTTTTATTTCATTAACGAATGTATATAATTCCGCGATATTTAATCTTGAAAAAAATCTCGCGCCTCCGCACGATCTATGAGATCTGTTGGTGAATACCGATTTAATTTCATACACCATTCGGGGTGAACAAATGTGTGATCGAATATTTGGTCTGCGAAAAATGTATCAAGCATCTTCGCTTGGAACTATAAAAACGCATCGATTGATTAATTGTGAAATCATTGATCTCTCTTGGTAGAATAATTGAGTAATTTTTTTTAATGTGTGCTAAATTTTAAATAAATTATATAATATTATGTTTAATTATATCACATATATATATGACAATTATATATGACAAGACCGATCTCTACATATCGTTCGCAAATATTCGTCGATCAATTCATTTTTTGTTCTCAAAATATTATTCTCGCGAAGGGATCTAATGAGCGTCGTTCCTTCCCATTCCTATCTCACTATCTTTTCTTCAAATCAACAAAATGGAGCATAAATTAAGAAAAACGAGTCAGGGAATATAAAGTAATCGGCCGAGAGACACGAGTTCGGTGGCGGACCGCTTCATATGGTTGAGTGAACTGGCCAATTGCTGGACCATTGAAGAGCGCGTCTCACGATGGATCGGCTAGGAAGAGTCGCAGCATTAGCGATAGCTTCGCTATCACGGTCCTCGCGAGAATCCGCCTCGCGTTTCTCGGTCTGTTGTGAAGAACATGCATATCCATTAATTCTGGAGATCGATTACGTAATTTTCATCTTAAGAGTTAAAGTATTGAAAATGCAAATAAATTTGCCGATATCGTAATTAAAATGATAAAAGCGAAATAAATTTACTAATTGTGATGATCGACCTCCATACAAAATTATATTCTGAGAGGCGTAACTAGAATCGATGAAAAGAAAAATAAAGTTTGAGAGAAAAATAAATATACTTTTACAATATATATATATATATGCATGTGTGTACCTAATGTGTATTAATACACATACACGCATACATATACATATAATATATTTGTTGGAATATTTCTCTATTTGTAATATATTTTTATTAAGCATGCTTCTCTCTCTAGAATAAGATGATATGTTAAATAAGTTAGAAAGGAATATATATATAATACGTTGATCTAGTTACGCCAATGTTCATTCTCGGACTCTTCCGTTTCTCAATCTCGTGGATCTGATCATTTAATCGCAAAAATTGCAACTGTTCCACGGAAAACTATATTGTAATCATGTTTATAAAACAAAAGAGATATTTTTTATGTTTTTCATTTATCTTTGATAATAATTAAAAGTCTTTCATATTATTTTGTAGTATATTGTGAATTGTGATATAGGATGCAAAAACGTGTCGATCGGATTTTATGTAAAATTCAATCCAATTATTATAGCCAATTCTTCCGTGGAGCAGTCGATTTATTTAAAGTTTAATAGACCCTCATATGCATTAAAAATACTCTTCAGATTCTTTAGACTCTTGTCTTTTTTATTTATCACTATTATTTATCATCCGCATCATTTACGCACACGCAAAATATGGTTATTTGATATTCGTCTTATAATTATACGCAATATAATATTTTTATTAACCAAGAAAAAATAACTCGGTTATATTTAGCATAAAACTATGCAATAAAAATAGTATGTGAGAGGATATATGGCAGGAGGCGGGGGGGAACCAGTGTATATACAATATTTATTATTTAAAGATGATATGTCGGCAAGTAGCATCGATTGAATGATTCGTGAGAAAGGATGAGAAAAGGAAAGAGATATAGCTATTTTTTATAGATTTTATATTTAACTTCATTAGTTTTGTTTCCAATAATGAAACAAACAAAATGTAATAAATTTTGATTAATGAAAACCCTAAGAGATTTATTATCATTTACATCATTAATTACATAAATTAATATCAAGCCAATTTATTTATTTATGTAGTTTTCGTGCGGAAAGCAATTATTTACTATATCTATTGTAATATAATTTATGGGATAACAAATTTCAGTGAATTATATTAATTAATAATTAATTCAACAAACTTTTGATAATATATGTATATATAAATTTATTAGTAGAATCTATAAAACAAAATTAATATATGCATATAAAAGAAGAATTTTTGAAAATATTTTATATTTTTAAATGGCTAAGAGATATCTCTTTTGGATTGCACTTTGCAAAAAGAAATTAAACAACATCTCACATAATTATGTTTAAGAAATTAAGTAATATATTCTATAATATTTGATTTATTTCAAAAAAATATTAACGAAGCATTATTTGGATTGATTTATCATGCATCGAGTGATGAGTCTAACAGACTCTATCTCTTTTTTTTTCTCTCTCTTCCTCTCTTTCTCATCTCGTCACAGTAATTTTTTTCAAATCAATATATACGGAAGGATGAGCGCTACGATCGGTCATATTTTTCTCATTAATGACGAGATAACGGGTTAACGGAAAAATTCATAATATCCACGTTCGGTTTTCGAGCGCTATTGATATCTCTCGATGCTCATCTGCATCGTAAAGAGAGAAATCCCCATTTTTGCGGAAAATTTTAATTTTCTCGCGGAATGATTCTTCCCCTCCCCATGCGTATTGATATTGGGATAAATTATTATCGCTGCAATCCCATTTAATGCGAGAGCCACTCGTCATTAAAATCGTCGTTGCATGATCAATCGATGCTTTTGCCTACATCAGCATTTTTTTTGCGGGATCATTTGAGAATCAGCGTATTTATCGTATCGGCGAACATTCGAAACCATCGACATCGGTTTGCTGTTTTTCGCAACTTTCCTCGTACTGAATATTTTAATAATAATTGCAGAATACGTATTCTACCATGTTGAAAAATTTATTTATAATAATAATTTTGCGTGGGAATATTTATTATATGTATATAATGCGGAAATTAATTGGCGAAATAATTCTATAGATTGTTGATTAATACATTGAATAATTTATAAGAATTGTTAAATTGTTACGTGGTTTATATAGTGTTATCTGAGAAATATAAAATAAAAGAATCTCTCTTCGTAAGTCGTATGGGATATAACAAATCATATTTTTTAAATTACATATATGCTAAGAAAATAATATTCCATGAAATGTAATAAATTCCATAATTATTTTGCTCTTGATTGCAATATCGTATTCTGCAATTATCCAAATAAATCTTTATCTTGATGCAATAATAATCAGAATTAAATTATTATGGGGTTGCGAAGAGCTGATAATCCAATCGAGCCGAATTAAATTGAACTTATCGCCGAATACATTTCCGTTATGTTGCTTCGTTTATTTCGTTTTTTTTTATTATTACATTTGGTTATTAACAATTTGCGGTTCTTTCTTTAACGCAGGATATCTGAAACAGAGTGGTTTTCTTCCTTCCACAAGCATGTTCGTTCATTTGTACATTTGGTGGGGCAAGATGCTTGGGTTTTATCTGGTATCCCCTAAAATCCTTTTAACACCCTCACTTCACGGTTAATAACTGCATTAATACATTGTAAGCCGTTTCTAATAATTTCCAGAGCTGGCAATTGTCATAAAAATAGTGCAACATTTATGAATAGAAGATATATATCTGATAATTAGAATGCGTTAAATATAATAAAACGGCTTATAATGCGTTAATTATAATATTTATTATGTTATGTACATATATTTGTTAGTTATTTGATTAAAAAAGAAATTATTATGGTATTGGTTAAGGTATAAACAAAATGGAGCAAGTATATCAAACGCAAACAGCTACGTTGTAGATTAATATATTTATATAGTTATATAACTAATTGCTTAATTTTA